TGCCCTCTCCATGTTTCCCACCACCAGCTGTTGCTGGTGCTGCAGTAAGAGTCCTGTAGAGCCTTTTGCCCTCCTCAAGAGATCCTATATCTGCCTGTGGCCCATGAAGAATGCTTTCCTCGTCTTTCAGGCTTCTCTGCCATTGCCAGGGCAACAGTATCCCCAGCGAGCCGTGCCATAACAACAAGCCCATGGCTCTCAGCACCACTGCCTGCCCAAGGACAAGAAAATAGACTCATGAGGGATGTAAACGCAAGGCCAGCCCTGGCAGGGAGATGCTGTCGTGCACGGGGGTAGACTTTGCATGTACAAGGGTGTCTGCACCTCAGTAACTTCCCTCCTTCCCCAGGGCACTGCCCCCTGCTGGTGGTCCGCCCAGCGAGCCCCATCTCCTGTCACTGCAGAAATCTCCTGTGTTGGAAATGGAGGTCTGCTGTTCAAAAAGAGCCTTGCTGAGGTTCCTGCTGGCAAGTGCTACTGTCCGGTTTCAGAAAGCAGCAGAGAAGACCCTACATTAATATGCAGAGGCTGCTGTGGAGCTGTTAAGTGTGGGATTTCATCAGGGTTTGTCTATCTAAAAAGCAAGAGATGCCCACCGGGCTTGCCCAGCCCCAGCATCACACACAGCCCTCTCTGTTCTGCTGCACCCTGCAAGAGCAACTCGCAGGAACACAGGCTTGCACGTGCACGGACACGCACACAGGCATTGTCCAGCTCTACCCGCACTATGCATTCCCACTGTGGCCACCCTGCCTGCTCCCCCCGAGGCACAGCACACCCTCCATACCCACAATTCACGGATGAGGCAGGTTCCTGGACACAACACGCTCGTTCTCTCCCACAGTGCAGCCCACAATCGAGGCCCTGCTTGGGGAAAGGCAATGCTGTGTGCACCTCTGCCAACACGCACAAAGACTACATCCACTCTGCACACACCGGGACAGTCATACACGCCCAGCCTGGCCACCTCCCCACTGCGGAGAAGCCACCACGGTCCACTTACAAGCCTGGCATCCCTCGAAGCCTTCAACACTTGGCTGCTGCCTAACACGGGCTAGCAGGGGTGGCTGGGGAGCATCCCTGCCCCGGGAGCCTCCTGGGCTCTCTCCAGAGCACTCAGGCTTTTCAAACGCGAGTTGAGCTGCAAAGCAAAGCTGGCACAAGCAGAGCTGCCTGCCCTTCTGCTCTTCTGTCCTACCCAAGCAGAGAAGGAGTCGAGGCAGCCAGGCGGCACCCTGGCAGTGGCAGAGGGGCTCTGCGGTGCGCGGGGAGGATGCACACGCACGTGTGTCTGTGTATCTGTGTGTCTCGTCACTACAGCACGCCCATCCCCTGAGCATCCTCGACGCCCTGAGCAGCAAGGCGCACTTCAGAGGAGTTAATAGCAGCCAGCTTTGTGTCTGGGGGATGAAAGGGGAGGAGGGAAATGCGTTGCTCAGGGATGCTCCATTTCCCTACCCAAGTGGCCCCTTCTTCCCCTGCCACTGCCTTGGTGGCTGGAGGGACCCCAGACATCTCTCAGGTCGGAGTCCAGCTGGAGATCACAGCTGCCCTAGGCAGCTCTGGGTCCAGTGGCTCCTGAGTTCCCAGCAAACCTTGGGGAAGGGTCACTGCCCACCCGGAGACCAGAGACCGGCACAGCCAGCAGACCCCCAGCTGGGCTCAAGTCCTGCCGCACAAGAGGATGCGCTGGGATGGCTTTCCAGGCCACCTGCTTCCGCTCCCCTCCCAGCCCTCTGCCCTAGGGGAAAACAAAGCTGGGGACTATTTCCCTGCTTCACAGGCTGTGACGTGGCTACTGCTCTGATGGAAAATTTGCAGAAGTAGCCACGTTTTAACACCCTCCCATCCAGTTACCTCATCTCACGCTCAGGGAGCAGGATACCAAATGTGCTGCTCTGAGTCCGGGCAAAGAGAGCTGCAGAGCTTGAAGATGATCATGAAATGTATCTTTCACCAATTTCTGCCCTCATATTTTGTTCACAAAGCCATTCTAATAACCAGTTAGCAAAAAAATTGCATCCCCAAAGCAACAAGGAAGAGGTTCGTTTTTACCCACTTCCCCCAGCATCTGGCTGCCTGCAGTGGCTGAGGCTGGATCGGTCCCTGTCGTGTGCATGGAGTCCTGCACCGTGTAGGAGGCTGGTCTGAAAGCACCAGCACCACAAGTCCCTTCGCTATCAAGGGTTTACCTTTTTTTTTCCCCCTTCAAACCCTTAAATTCCACTTGTTCTGATCTCACTGAAAACTTGGACAGCAGGGAGCCTGAAGGAAGAAATTGAATTTTCGCAGCCTTGGCCGGGGCTGCTGGTGGCATTGGGTGCTGCCTGGGGAGAGCACCCAGCAGCAAGGGACACATCACCCTGCTCTCGTCCCCACATCACAGCCCCCGGCACTGGGTACAGCTCACACACCAGGAGCACCAGCAGTGGCACATGTCCTCCTTCCACCTCTCCTTTTGCTCCCTCCTGCAGCTGCCTTCAAAAGCAACACAGGAAAGTCCAGGAGCTACTCCCTCGAACACCGTATTGCACAAGACACTTTATTTTCTGTGCATGTCATTGTGGCAGTGACCCAAGGAGACACCCAGCCCTGCCACATGTGCTGCCCTGGGACAACAAAGAGCCAGGAGGAGGAGGCAGGGAAGATAAGATAGAAAGTAAATAAATAAAAGCATCGCACCACAACAGGGACAACATTAACCAGAAACTCTCCTCCTCCAGAATCCCTCCAGTCAGGGTGGCTGGCATGTGTGTTTTACACCAGTGGGCCAAACAGCCTGTAGCTCTAGAGATGTCAGACATCCAGCATCTGATGAAATAAGCATGCGTGGCTAAGACATCCAGCATCAGGTCAGAGTCCTGTTGTCAAGGGAATAAACCTTATCTGTTCCCATCCACTGCAATACCAGGATCAGACTCCGCAGTTGGTAGAAGAAACACATCCAGAACACATGGAGTTTATTAAAATACGCATTTTATTGGTGTTTCCAGATTTACACCAGGATTTACGCCTTACATCAAAGTCATATTGTAGCCCCTACAACCTGCCAATAATTAGCCTTTGAGAAAACGTACAGTTTGACTACCTCTCCTCCAAACATCTTCAATCCACACTTTGAAAGTAGTGGCCCCCAAAGGGCCAGCCCTCTCACCTTACAGCTTAAAAAAAAAACCCACAAGCTTCGTCCAGAACACGTTTGCCTCTCTCCGAGAAGAGAGACCAGCCAAAAGATTTACCCACTTTCCTGGCACCACTCACCCAGCAGCAGCCCCCTTACACAGAGCCGTTGTGTAAGGTCCCCTGGTAACTCTGACCACATCCCTGAGCCACAGGAACCACCCGGCACAGTGCTCCCATTCCTTACACCCTGCCATGGCACACCAAGCCCACCACACCATCCTGGCTCCCATCTGTAATAAATCTCAGTGCTCTCCTCAGCTCAACTAGCAGGCACAGGTTCAGACCTGCAATTACTTGTGGGACAGCAATTTATTAGTCAATGTCCAGCTGCCAGATTTACAGTCACGGATGCTCAATGCAGTTGCAGGCAGGAAACACCCAAGCATCCATGTCTGTAAATAAGCTATTGAGACATCTGCATGACCTGCAGAACCAGCTACAATTACTTATACGTGGAACATAGAGGTGCCGTTAGGCCATGCCAAAACCTTACCCCAGAGCCTGCAAGCACAACTCCAGCAGACATGCTGGATGAACACCAAAAAAGTCACCTCAGATGCAAGTGTTACTAAAACTCCACAAAAGGAAAGAAACTGCAAAGCTGTTGAACTGGGCTTGTGTTTTAGCTAAAGAGCATCTGTGCCAAGAATTCCCCTCACCTGTGTTCTTGCACCATCACTGAAGTTACAGCTTGGCAGCAGACCTAGGAGCGACCCTGCCCTCTGGCACTGGCAACCTAACAAGTATCGGCTGCTGCCCAAATGGGCCATTTTCCATGGCCTGTCTGGTGCTGTCACTGTTGGTACAAGGTCTTATAATCTAGAGAGTCATCATGGGGAGGTTTCCCATTTAAATCTCTCTGGAAAAGAGCCAAACTCATGGATAAGCCCAGACCTCAGCAACACTCTTAGTCACTTTGGATCTGAACATTTGCAAACCCAGCAACAGTACGGGAGCCGAGGAGACAGTGGCACAGCAGTGGCTGCAGGGATGGGAGCTCCTGGCTCCTCCAGCTCCATACCTCCCAGAGCAGGGGCTATGGTAAGGAAGAACTGGCACTGCTACCTCCATGAAAGAGCAGTTGCACAAGGAAGAAAAGAAAACCCACCAGCAGTATGAAAAAGCTCAACCACTCTACACAAGCTTTTAGGGTGGAAAATGAGGAACAGACCACAGCAATCGGCTGAGGACTTTTTCATGAGGTCAGAACCAAGTTATCCAAGCTGGGACATGGTTAGGGGGCTGGGACCATCACAGTGTAAGACAGTAAGAGGACCCCATGTCTGCGAACACTCAATGCCTTGGCTTTGCATCTCCTCTGGCAGACAGCCCAAGGGCCAAAGGGTCTCTCATTGCTTTGTGCAGGACGGATACCTCCTATATGAGCCACCAATCTCTTAAGAGACCTGAGCTCTTCACAGCAGCTTGCCACGCAAGCACTGACCCCATCAAACACACCAAGTGGTTGCTGGTGTACACAAAGCACTTGCAGCCACAGCTCAGCCCCAGGACTATGTTGGGCCGTGCTCCTCGTATCCCACCTCTCTCTGACACCTGTCTCCAGTTGCTGTGGCACGAGGTCCCGCTTCATCATTTCCCTCACCCACCCCTGATGCTGGAGCATGGGAGAGGAACAGCACCTTCATCGTAATTGAGGCCTGAAGGACACAGATCCTCAAGGGCCTACGCTGCAAAAAGCAGGTCAAGTTAAGAAGAAACACACTAGTTTTACTGTTTGCAAGTAGGTGAGCAAGGATTCTTTGCCTGCCCTCACCCACCCTGCCAGGGCTGGGGAGGGAAGGTCGGGGCACGGGAGATCATCTCCTCAGCCAGAGCCACGTGTTGATGAGGCAGGCGGAGATCAGCACGGAGTAGACCAGGGCCTCCTTCTGTCGCCAGGCACTGCACTGCTCTTCCAGCACACGCAGCCTCCCCGAGATCCTTGTCAGCTGCAAGGGAAGCAGTGGGGCCACGGTCAGCCCTGCGGCGAAGTGCAGGACACTGGCTGCAGCCCAGGGACAGCAAGGGATGGAGAGGCAGGAGCTGCCGTCTCCTTCAGCAGTAGGTATCTTTGTGTGGGAGAATTAGCAGCACTACCTCAGCTCCTGCGCTCATCAGGTCCTTCCCACCAGAAGAGCATCTGAGCCCTTTATGGCCAGCAGATGGAGGGGTCTGGCTATCTCCTAGAACCCTCAGCCCCTCGGGGTAGGAGCTTTATCAGTCAACACACATGTAAGTCCTGCCCTGCTACTCCATTAGCAGCATCAGCTGGGCCTGGCTTGGCAACACCAGCCCACCAGGGCTGAGCAGCAGACCCTGGCACATCCTCACCCACCCTCCTACAGCTTTCCCAGGAAACATTTGCAGCCCTTCACCCGCATCTCACCTGCTTTCGCATTGCTGCCATCTCAGCCACTCCGACCTCCTCCAAGACACCCTCTGGGGCTGCGCCAGCCTCCTGGGAGCTGGGGAAGAAAACAGAGATGCAGAGGGACAAACACTGCTCGAGAGGTGCAACTGCCTTCCCGCACACACAGTGCTGCTGTGGGGAGCCGAGCCGTGCAGGTGGCGCATGTGCCCAGGATGTGCTGTCCAGATGCAGCATCAGGAGAGAGGAACAGCACCTACACAGCATCTACTCATCTCTTCTTAAGCCTCATCATGCATATTTATACCCCACCACCATGCCCCCCATAGTGACCACAACAAAACACAGAGTACACACCATGACAGACAGGGAAAATGCATACTTGTATTTCTTTAGGGGTCCAACAGAGAGAAAAGATGATGTTTACCAAGCATCCACTCTGTGGTCCAAGGAATTCATTGAGGGTTGGATTAGAGCCAGTCAGGTAAATACCTATCACAGGGCCAATGCCAAAACAGGAGGATGATCCCACTTACATGAGCAAGTGAGGATCCCACTGGTGGGTGTAAGAGACCAGCATGGAAGAACTGCTACAATCCAACACCAAGGCAAACTGGTGACCCTCACAACAAAGAACCGTTTGCTCAGAAGGGTGCAGCCAAGGCAGGAGACAAAAAACTCGGTAAGGGAACAGGGGGTGGAGATTCCCCAAGGCCTTCCAAGGAATGTCTCAAACACTCACAAGGTGCAAAAAGCCTTGAAGCGAAAAGTAATCTGGCACCTGGGCCAGGGGCAGTCCCCAGGGAACAGCGGACACAAAAAGAGGGGGCCAGTGCCATGAGAGGCACTTCTGAACAAGGTCTCCTACGCACCAGAGACCCTGTTGGCTGGACCAATGCTGGAACCTGGACCAGTGATACATCAATTTCTCTCTCTCCCCTCTTCTTTCTTTTTATTTTCTCTTTTTTTTTATTCCTTTTTTTCTCTAATAAGTAACACAAGGTATAAAACCCCACACACTACTATCCAATTGTCTACCGATGAGCCTAACTATGGAATAAAGGGTTTTGTTTACCCACAGACCTTGAGTGTGTTCTCACCTTAATCCACACAGGGTTATCAGCGAATCTGAGTCACTTCTCCCTCCTTCCTGCAACTGTATCTGCAGACCCTTAACTGGGATGTGCCATGGTCACAGGCAGATATTTGGGACGCAACAGCGGGAAGCAGCCGTCGACTGGGGGTAACTATCTGAACAAGTCCATCAGCCAGCAGAAAAGGGTCCTATGTTTGCTGAGACAAGGATTTGTTCCTCTTCAGCATCTCCAGATACCACAAGCTCACTTTCCCTGCCCACCTGACAAAAAAAGTACCACTTTTTGCTCTTCTAGCAAATTTTACCTGCAACTTGAAACATTATCAAGCAACTCAAGCACGCACCACTTTCTTCCATCCCTGGAAACAAACAGGCCACCACTGGGATTAGCTGCTGCACTGGCAGAGGCAACGCAGACCATGGATCTCCAGGGCATCCCCCGGAGATACAGCCTTGCTGCAGAGCCCGCATCACAGAGCCACAAAATAAAGCCACAAAATAAAGTAGATCCACAGTGAGAAAAATCCAAATTGCCATGTTTGGTCTGTTGCTCCTATCACCATTGCCTAGCCCTACATCAGTTCTTCCATAACTACACTCTCCTACACACACCAACAACTCGCATGGACACTCGCTGATACCATACAGGTTAACAAGTGTCTAACATTGGTCCTTTGGAGACCTCAGGGAGAGTATTTATTCCTGTTTGCAACACGATGTTGATCTTGCTGAAGATGAGCCAGAACAGCATGGGGAAATTCAGTGAATCTCTGTCTGAAAACACATTTGTGATGTAATACCTCCACATAATGTAGCCGCGGTGTAACTTGAAAGTCACAACAGAGAGAAAATCCAATTTCCCCCAGCACAGAGCCATTAAAAAGGGACACATGCTGCAGCTTTTGACTGAAAAATCCCAGTTGATACAGGTGAACACTTTAGAGTGAAGACTAGAAATTACCTTCTGATGACTCATACCCTTCAAGAGGGCACTATCAGGCAAATATTCCAGTCTCTGTCCAAGACTGGACTTTTCTTTATTAAAATTTCAGGACAAATGAGTCATCTCAGTCATTTTTTTTATTTTTATTGTTACATAGGGGTACAAAGTTGTTGTATCAAAGAGATATCATGTGCATCTGAAGTGATGCAAAGTACCAAGAAAAGGTGTTTCAAGGTGGCTGGCTTCAAAGGGAAACCGAGACCTGGGGAGAGGTCTCAACCCATTGCATTACAGCAGCTCCGCAAGCTACTGCTTCTCATGGTACCACGGCCTAAACCTCCTCTACTGCTGATGGGAGGAAGGAAAAGTTCTTATGTAGCCACTGACCAAATCTGTTGCATGCCTCGACTTCATTTAAAAAAAAAAAAGAAGTGACATTTGAAGACAGCCTATTGTGGTTGAAAGCAGGGACATCAATTTGCATCACTCACAGGCAGAAGCCAGCTCTGCTGCCTGCATCTCTGTGCCATCTGGGGAGGGAAGGCAGGATATGCCACTGATTGCACCGATGGATGCTCACTCCCCTCCCTTTCTGCCTGGAGGCTTTGCTCAAGAAGAATCAGAAGTATTTAGATGTTCCTCTGTGTGCTCAGCAGCCTTAGAGCAGTGGGGACACCTTAAGGCTGCAATGATGTCTTTGAACATGTTAAATTTACTGCACTTGCACAAAAAAAAGTGCTCTAGCATATCCAGAGAGACTGAGATCATTACATACCTGCTCCAGTGAGCACACAGGCATACTGCACCGTGGCCAGAGGCATCGGCTATGGGATGAGTAAGCTGGTGTAACCAGTTCGTGGAAAATATTAATTAAAGGTGACCAAGACACAGCCAAGGGTGCTGGGAGTCTGCAGGAGAGGGTGTCTTGGGGACAGGACGCGGGTCAGGCTGTCTGTTCTGGATTTTGATTCCCTTCACACATCTCTCCATCAAGCTATCAAGGCATGTAGAAAAGTTAGCACTTGCTTGGCCGTGAAGAGCAGCTGAAATCCCAGCAATGTCCAAAGCAGTGTTTGATCATTTGAGATGCCCAGGAGACCGGTGTTAAGCTAAGCGAGAGACACAAGCAAGCTGGGTTAGCTGGGTGCACCCAGGCTTCATGCACCAGGCACTCCTAGGCCAGGCGCCTGGAGCTGGCAGACAGCACAGGCAAGGAGGAGAGTCTGGGGCAGCCATGCAGGACCATCCTGCTCCTGTGCCGTGCAGCCTGTGGTTTACAGAGCTCGTGCCTGGCTCACGCCTTAGCAAGGCAAAGGCAAGTCCTTGCAGAGCGACAGGGAGATGGCTCAAGATGAGCCAAAGTCACCTGGATGGCACTGGATCTTGCAGAGAGTCCTGGACATGGTGGAAGAGCACTTGGCCCAGGTAGTACATGGTCTGGAAGATGTTCTGCATGGAGTAGATCCTGCCCGTCCCCACAAGGAGGGGAAGCGGGGCACTGCGCGTGGGCAGGGGGCACACGTCCAGCCTAGGGTGCACACAGAATCACACCTGTCATCTCCTGGCCTCGTGCAGCATGGGCACAGCCCAGCATTTGGCAGTGTCCTTAATCCCTTCAACAGCTCCAAGCACCTCTGGGCAATGCCATCGGCACCCAGATCCCCACATCACCAGGCGAGAGAACTCCCTTCAGGAGCCCGCAGGCTCAGAGGCAGTCGCTTGACTCCTCCAAAGCCAACCATGGCTGTGTGTTAACCAGACCTTCACCAGCTGCTCTCAGCTGCAACAGGGGTTGCAGAAGGCAACTCTCCTGGCACCCAGATCAATCTTGGACTTCTAGGAGGAAAACTGGCTCTTCTCTGGGATTAAGTTAGAGACAATTTCTCCACTGGAGACTCTGGAGCCCAAGGCCATGAGCAGAGGATCACTATTACCATGCTACCGTTCACAAGCTAAGTTCAAAAAGCTGAAAACCAAGTATGTTCTTAGCCCACTCTGTCTGCAAGGCACTGCAAGTTTCAACGACCCTTGCAGAAACTCAGTTAAGTCCTGGTGCCTCATTTGCCTGTGGTCACCTGCCCATAGCCCACAGCACTCTGCCATGCTAGGGTTGAAGCAGGAGGGCACATTTCAAAGTGCCAAGATGAAGATGGGCAGAGCCAGAGAGACTGACACAAGCCAGAGCGGGCAGCAAGGTCCTCCTGGCCCAATGGCCCGGCAAGGACTGGCAGCACTCCCAGCCTGCTGCCAGAGGTGACGTGCACTCCCACATGGATCTCGGCAGACAGCTCATCAGCCTGGGGACCAATGCAGCTGCCTTCACTGCTGCCTGGCACAAACCTCTCTGATGCCAGAAGCCATGTTCCTCCTGTGCAAGAGTAGGACTTGCCAGGCACTGACTTGCCCTGGTCTGAATACCCCCCACCTTGGGGCACAGACACCAGAGAGCATCAAAGCAGCACAGACGACAGGAGATGCTGATCCCCACCTGCCCCAGACAGCTCTGGGTTCATGCTCACCGCTCATGGTGCTGGCTCGGGCTTTGTAAGGCCAGCTGGGCACAGTCATTTGTAGTCCTCTCTCGCCGCGACCTGCTGCTGTGATGGCCCTGTTGGCATCAAACACAAACACGTTAGTGCAGAGACTCTGGACAGGACAAGCCCAGCCCGGTGCCCTGCATGGCCTGCAGTTCCAGGAATCCATCAGCACCGGGCAAGCACTCAGTGGTGGGAGCATTACATGAGACCCAAACCTGGTGAGCTGATGCTGGAGCAGGTGGGGAGGTATGCTCGGAGCAGGGTGGGGATCACCAGCTGCTGACCTGATCTCTATTCAGATCAAAAATCCTGAACCTAACGCATCCGGGAATGGCTCCTGAATCTCAGAGAGGTGAAAGCACTTGAGGAGGCAAATCAGCAGCTCCAGCAGCCAAACCAAGCCTTTGGCTGCTCATGTCAGGAGCCTCTCTTTGAATTAGTTTCGCGCAAGGCTAAAATCTGCTTTCAACTCTGACACCAGAACTCTTTACACTGCAATGATGAAACTGCTCCATCTCATACTTCATCCAGGAGAAACAGTCGTTGAAAAGGGATTTCAAAAGCAGCAGAAGAAGGTTGTGGGGGGAGTGCGCTTACCTCAGCCCATCGCCTGCTCACAAAACGCGGTAGGCTGAATCGATGTCCCAGCATGAAGGTGTGTACTGGTTATGGGACAGAAAGACATCCCACCACCCCTATACTCTCACTCCTAGGACTTCCTAGGAGGACGTAGCACTCTGGAAGATGAATTCTGGCTTGGGCTGACAACAGACCACTGGAGAAAGCCAGTGCTAGGATTGCTTCCCCTTCCCACCACAAGCAACTCCATCCACTCTCAATACAGTACCGATCGTTTGCGTTTCTGGGAGCTTGATGTGCTGGCTATGTGCAGAAAAGGTAGCTCTCCAAGGCGGGTGGGCTGCGCAGAGGAGTCTGAGGACATGTGCTCCACAGCAGAGGGGACCTTCCTTTGCTGCTTCAGCAGAACGGGCCTCAAACTGGCATCTGATATTTCTGCAGAGAGGAGAGAGGGAAGAATTAAACCAACCTGAATGTCCTCAGGACAGGAGAGAAGTGATCCAACCATGTAGGAGAGCCAACTCTGTGTCTAGTGTTACCAGACATACATCAAAAACCACGTTCTGCAGGTGTGAACAGCAGGACAGCCCAGAGAGGCAGGGAATGGAAAGCAACCGGATACACTGCTGCAAGAAAGCGAAGTTTGGGAGCTGTTTTTCAAAGAGACAGGGCCATATGTCTCAGCTTCCCAAAGCAGGAAACCTACCAAAGGCCAAGAGGGAACTGTAAGAGATGTGGAGATGTGGAGGGAGATGCCTCCACATTTTACTCCTCATTTTTTGGAGTTCAGATCCCTCCTGCCTTCTCTTGGTCACCTTTGCCCACCTCTCCCCAAGCATCTCTCCACCATTCCATCCTACCCTGCAGAATAAAGCTGACTATGTTATCTGCCCCTGTCCTCTCCTGATGCAAAGCAAATCACTGGGGACTTTATAAGGGGATCCTACACCCTAGGACATTGTAGAGCCGCATCAACCTTTGTCTACCCCAAAAGACAACCCAGGACATTACCTGCCAGAGAAATCCTATCAGGGATGTGCATCCGGAGGGAAGGAGGGACATCCTCTGTCACTGGCTCCTCTTCCACAGGGCTGAAGCTATCTGCTACTTTAAGCCTGTTGGGAACCTGCATCCTTTGATTGATGGCTTCTGTGAAGAGCAGGTCACAGCGGACTCTGTTCAGGTCCAGTCCCCAAAACGGCCACATCTTTTTTGATTTCCTCAGATTTCTTGAGCACACTGGGATTTCACACAGAGGAAAAGAAAGCTGACCGAAAGCGGTAGCAG